CCTTGGGATTATGTCATCACCGTGGTCGTCTGCTTGCCAGTAATACTGCCCGGAGCGATGAAATTACAGAATAACAAGCAACAACGTCAATTCAAAATAGTCCCACTCTTTCCAACGAGCCTGACTGCATAAATTATTTGCAGAGAAATTACAATGTTGAAACAGTGACCGCAGAAAATTGAGATCATAAACATATATGCGGAATTAACTTAATGTATGCGTTGCTTGAATAAAGGAGGACGCTAAACAAATCCAAGGAGCCCATACGCTCAACAGAATTTTGCAGCTTTTGTGATGGAATTTGCCAGAATGTTCGAAAGATCGCTTCGGTTTATCAGCATTTAATAAGTAAAGCTAGGAACGCTTAGGCTCGCCGACGCATACTCGCTTATTATCTTTTCCTACCTAAATTTCTTCGTAGTACGAGAACGAGTATAGAGAAAAATCGTTAATCTTCCCTCTAACCCATACTGATAGATATTGAGCAAAAGATCGCTCGGCCAACACTGGTAGATATCTCAGTTTAAAATATCAATCTGCCTCAGAATTCATGTGACAGTAGCTGAAATTCCTGGATGTAATTTCGATGAGGAAGTTTTGCCTGAGTGAAGTTGCAGCGCTTATAAAGGTTGAACGCAATTATAAGACTAACTTGACCATGTGAGCTCGCCCACCTCTGACTGACAATTTCGTAAGTTGTCTGGGACACTCATACGCCGAGTACAACGCTGCATTGACAGAGGTCACCTCCACTGCTATTCTTGTTTATTAAATATTTCACAACTAAATAAACTAAATGGAACCCAAGTATTTCGCACCCACAGGTTTTAAAATACAAGCTGAACAAATCCGCAGCCCATGAACCGATATTTGAGAAAGAATCGTGACGGATATTGACGTTGAATGTGAAGTGATCCTCTGGCGACTTAAATTTAAAGGACGAGGGCCGAGTAGTAAGGTGTCTCCAGAGACAATGTCTATAGGCCGAAGAATTACGGGACTGTACTATTTATAGCCTCCTTAAAATGTATTAAGACAGAGAGGCAGAAGAACTGCCAAATGTGTTTAGAAGATAAACGACGTTTTTTTGAGTGCCCTGTAGTATAAAACCATATTTGTAAAGGTAGAGGAATCC